TATATTATTATAATTTATAAATTATGATTATATATATATGTGTGTGTGTGTGTGTTTTAGATAGTTTGACTCGTTTTTTTGAAAAAAATTCACATGTTTTATTTATTTTTTTTGTATATATTTATTCAAAATTTATCGAATCAATTTTGTTGTAGTTTTTTTGTATATTTTTCTATTTATTCTATATACTCGAATCGTAAGTATATATATATATATATATATATATATATATATATATATATTTGTTTTATTATAAATTAACTATAGATCCGCACACATAATACCAATTCTTTATTATTTATTTTTTATATTCTAAAATTTATTTTTTAAAATAAAATAAGTTACATAATGTTTTAAATGAACTTTTCAATTATTCAAATAAAAATTTTTATGCTAATATTATTAAATATTTTGTTGATAACTATATATATAGATTAAGCGATTTCGTTCAATATATAAATTCGATCTATATTAATTATCGAAAATAAAACTTTTACTTACAATATATCATATAAATCGTTAATACTACATATATAAAGGGTGCCCACCGTAGCGTAGCGTGGGTATCTAGTAAGAACTAAAATAAAAATAAAACCAAAAGAGGAAATGCAGAAAGAAAGAAAAAAAAATCAACAGTCAATACACAGTGAAAGTGCTACAGCATTTTTACGTTTTGTTTTAGTATATTTTGTAACGGTAATGCAATGTAATATACTAATGTGCTAACTTGGTAAAGTAACTCCAATTCGCGACCACAGAGGTAAGCTGCCGTCAGATTAGGGACGTTTTGAGCGTAGTACACTGTTCTTTTCACGTGTGTTGCTGCTTGCGACTATAACTAAATTCAGGTGTTCTGTGGATCAGATCCAAACCTAAGGTCTTAGTACCAGTCAAAAGAAAGCACTACAATAGAGCTAAGCCTATACACCTGTCCAAACTTTCACATTCGTGGCACCCTGTATCTCTCCATCTGCGACACCATTTTTCTTATTTTGTCTTGTTGCTCCTGCTTCTTCTTTATTAGTTAAAAGTTATTAGTAGCTAACTTTAGCAGCCGTTCAGGATATCCAACACTACCACTATCACCACCAATAGCAATATGGGTTCAGAGACATTCCTAGAAGTGATACTCGCCATTATCCTACCACCTGTTGGGGTCTTCCTGCGCTATGGCTGTGGAGTAATTTCTTCTTCACCCTTTTTTGCAATTTTCATTCTATGTTTACGTTTTTCTTTTTCCTTGGCAAAAAGGGTTGGTTCATTTTTTTTTCTTTCTTTTTTGTGGTTATGGAAAATGCAGGTGGAGTTCTGGATATGTTTGCTGTTGACCATATTGGGATATATTCCAGGGATAATATATGCAATTTATGTATTAGTTGGATAGTCTATCAATTTCCCTTGATGAGGTTTGCTATTTGTACGTTCAAGGACAGTTCTGTTTGCGTTTTCTTTTTGTTGAATCAGCTGTTTTCTCTTCATTCTGGTTTAGATAATAGTGTACTTCCTTGTTCTAAATTTATGACGGTTTGAACACACACACACACACATATGTGTGTGTGTGCCATTTTTCTTGATCTTGTATGGAGTAGCAAATTTAGTTTCTTTTTTATGAGCTCTGCTAGCTTTGAGCTTTGTTTAATGTAATGCGATTTGTTGGAATTTCTAGCTTTGATACACATCATTGAGTCATAAGTGGATGGAAACTTGATGAAATATGCCAATGCTGGCAGCCTGGCCTGGTGGTTTGGTATTGTATTTCCCAGTTCCCGCCACTCAACCAAGGTTCACGCGTTGGTACCGGGTACCAACAACAACAACAACAAACATTAAACTTGGTGAATTATGGTTTAAAAATTTCATAAAAAAAAAACTTGGTGATAGGTTACGTGCTTTTCCCTGCCATGTCAATCTTTGATTAGGTTGATGCTTAAATCAACAAATTAAACTTCGAGAGGTTTTCACGTAAAAATAGAATTGTTGTTTTGCTACCACCAACAAACTGACATGGACGGAAAAAAGGTGCCGAACATCGAAGTTGAGCTAAACCTGGCACAACTAGGCCAATTGGATGGTTTGAATCTGGTTTGGAAATGGGTTTGGGGTCACAGATTAGGATGAATCCAGGGGAACGCATGAACTTTGATCAGATCGAAGATGCTAATTTATGACAGGTTTTTTTTTTTTTTTTTTTTTTTTTTTTATATATGATGTTCATCTCCTTCTAAAGTAATTTACACTAATTATTTCAATACAAACAGGAGAGACAAAAAAAAAATTAAGTCCAAATGAAATTTTTTATTATTATTTTTTATGGATTCGGACATAATTTTTATATTATTTTTTTTTCAAAAGTAAACTCTTAGAGTTTTGAGTATTTTTTAATTTTTCTTCATCTTTTTTTTTTTTTTAATGAAATAGATTACACCATGAATAATATAAAATTTCTCAAGAAGACTATCCAAAAAAAAAAAAGTTTTATGAATATTGTATGTAATAAAATATACTAATTTAATAGTAATATAAAAATTACAAATAATAATATTCCAGTCGGGTCCGGTCAATGACTGGTTGAGGCCTGAGAGTCGGGACGCTTGTAGGCCACTGGCATAAAAACCCATCCCCTATCGAGTCCAGTAAACATTGGGCTTTCTGGATTTGGCCCAACTTCCAACCCTGTTTTGTACGCAACTAACGGTGATTCATCGTAAATTTTTGTAACGCTACAGTTCTATCGAAGAGTTTTTAAAATCACATCCGGGAATATGATTTCAGCGAATATTTGACGAGATGTAATCAATGCTCGTTAAAAAATAAAAAATGTGATGATTTTTTGAACTACATTACAGTGTTAGGTACATGTTCGACTTTTCTATTAAAAAAAAACTGTCAATTAATTTAATTAACTATGCGTTAATTTATGATTTTTTTTTTTTTTTTGCTGTTTTGACATAATTTAAACTCTACAACAAATAAATTTGATTGACAATAAATTCCATCCAAATATGAGGTTTGATATGCATTGCAATAAACATGGTATGTTAACAGAAAAATTATCCATATTTTATTTTTAAGATGTATTACGGATATTTACTTGTTGAACTTGAAGCATGGTATGCTAAAAAAATATTTAATCATTGTTATTATTATTATTTGCATTAATAAGTTGAAGTAATTTAATTTCAAAATAAATATCAAATTCTTATCAATAGTGAGAAAATTAAGACGTTTTAATAAACTTTTTGCTAAATAATGTTTTATATTAAAACTTTTCTACTATCACACTTTAAGATTTTCAAAACTCTCTTCATTTAGATTTTCACCACTCATCCATATGTCATTTGAATTGTATTTTACTAGCATTGCTCACTTTTTTTTTCATATTTTTTAATTATTTATATCCATTTTATTTAATTCATGTATTATAATTTTTACAACTTACAACATTAATTTACTAATCTATTTTAAAACCCGCGAACATCAATAAAATTAAAAATTATATGAAATTTAACCGCCCATCTCAATCAGCATAACGAAGAAGTTATCACACTCAAACACGAGTCGCAGATAGAATAATACATTAATACAGTCTACCTTTTTCATGTGCATTCGTTTGGAGGTATCTTTTTCAGAAGAAAAAGAAAATCAACAAAAATCTTTAGATGATAATTACGGAGTTACCACTAATATTTGTGTTTCAATGAATCTGCTCTTCTTATGCACTTAGTTGCTGAGACAAGGGCGTTGTCCATTGAAGTTTGGCTCGCATGGAATGAAATTATTTTCTATGACATCATCTTAAATTCAAATCAAAATAAAAAAAATGTGAAAAAACAATTTAACGTGAATGCTTCAATTAAGATAAAGTTTTTCTGTTCAAGAGTCGATCTGGGTGCGTAAATGCTGCCGACAGCCCAAGGATGACGTTGGCCTTTTTGGCTTTGGGCCATCCTGCTTACTGGGCCAGTGTCTGAGCTGTGAGGTGATGGTTTCTTACATATAATCTATATTTTATCATACTTCGAATCTGTCCACCCATTGATAGCCCAAAATATGTTTTGCCTCCACAGCCCAAAAAAGCCGAAGAAACCAAAAACAAAATTAGGACATATCCGTAATATTACACAAAAAGCAAGACTATTTACGTCAATTCAAGAAAATAGGAGGCAACCAAACAGCCCTAATACAAGATATATACAGTCGAATCACCAACTCAGGGTTTCTCTGCGTTTTTAACTAGGCGGCTTAGCTCTCCCTTGATCAAACATCCAATCACCATCTCTTCACTCTAGCAACGCTTTCTATCCGCCAAAATGGGGTTAGTCTCTCTCTTATTTTCGCTCTTAAAGCGTATTTTTAATCTGTTTTGTGAAATCATTTATGGTTCTGTTTCTGTTATTCTTGCTTTGTAGTTTACAGTCGTCTAGTGGTTATAAGTTTTAGGGTTTTTTTTGTTAAATTGGGATCTTTTTAGTGTTTTCAAACTGGGTTTTGTTTATCTCAAAAGGGTCGCTGAGCAGGATGTGAAAAAGTTTGAATTTTTATGGTTTATGTTGCAAAAAACAAGTTAAAACTGTGATCTATTTTTGTTTTTATTTTTTTTGTTATAATTAGGTTCGTTAAAGAGTGGGATTGTTGCAAGCAAAATAAAGTTATTTATCTAAACTAATGTGTGTGTGAGTTTTGAGCTACAGCTGTATATATATATTTTTTTGTTTTTATGTCTGACCCATGTGTTTGGTCGATTGAATTGCGTGGATGGTTGGTGATAGTTTAAGTTTTCTCCTTGATTGAGGTTCTGTTAGCAAAGGAAAAGGCTGAAATGCTTATATAAACCTGAGCAGCGCTGCACAAAAATGAGTCTGAATATGAACCTGAGCAACGCTGCACCTTTTTCTTGTGTTGCAACTAGAATAGGATTTATTGACAATTGAATAGTACTATAGAAAATGGATTGATTTGTAACTTGGTGAATGTGTGTGTAATACAGTAAGACTCGTGGTATGGGAGCTGGTCGTAAGCTGAAGTCCCACCGCAGAAGGCAAAGGTGGGCTGACAAGGCATACAAGAAATCCAACCTTGGTAATGAGTGGAAGAAACCATTTGCTGGGTCTTCCCATGCTAAGGGAATTGTCCTTGAAAAGATGTGAGTCATTTTCTGATTGTTTCGTGTTTCATGGAACGTTACCATAGTCATGATGCTTACCATTGGGGCTTGTATGTTAATTGGTTTATGCAGTGGTATTGAGGCTAAACAGCCAAACTCTGCTATCCGAAAATGTGCTCGTGTTCAGCTGATTAAGAATGGGAAAAAGATTGCTGCCTTTGTACCCAATGATGGTTGCTTAAACTACATCGAGGAAAATGTAAGTTTTTTGCATGGTTGTAAAGCGTGAAAAGTTTATAACCATCATACCAGAAACATTTATTAGACACCAACCAGATTTAGGATATCTTTTTCCCACAATGATCTGGAAGTTAATTTTGTGATCTCTCTTCTTTGCTTTGTTAGTATTTTCTGACACAGTAACACCTAGGTTGATAGTTGTGGAAGATTGTCTTTTCCAAAATCTTTTCTTGATTATCCTTTTGCAGTTTGTGGATTTTCTAATTGGTGACATTTTATTTGCCTGTGTACTTAGCAATAATTAGTACTCAGATACCATCTTTTAGAAAGTTTGAAATGGACAAGTCTTGCTATGTTGTTTGTCCACTCCCTCTTATATGCTAGATCTAATATGTAGCTTTCTTCGGTGCTTAGGATGAAGTGTTGATTGCTGGATTTGGACGAAAGGGACATGCTGTGGGAGATATTCCTGGAGTCAGGTTCAAGGTGGTGAAGGTGTCTGGTGTATCCCTTCTTGCTCTCTTTAAAGAGAAGAAGGAAAAGCCAAGGTCTTAATTTTGCTGGGAGAGCTTTTCCTTGATTCAATCTCTTTCCTATTTTGCCCTTTTATCTATGGTAGGAGTTATTATGTACTGCAGAATTTTGCAGATGACTTCTTTCTGAAATTAGAACGCGAATCTGTTTGTCTTGAGGAAACAAAATTTTGGGGTAGAATGGTGATGTTTGATGACAGTTTTTTTTTTCCCTTCCTGTATGGCGTTGCTTTTGACTTTTCAGTATTTTGTTCCTACTGTGAATTATCGATGGTCCCCGAGATTCTAGTCAAGCAGCTCTTTATGTTTTTCAGGTGGTATCATTAGGTGTCGTTTGGATATTACTAGGAATGAAAAATTATCAAAAATGAAAAGTTTACAATGAGAAGCTAGGAACCATAATAAAAATTAAGAAATCCGCAAGACTATATAGGAATTGCAATGTAAGTTAGAAAATTAGAGTAACATTTTCATTCTAATATAATGTTTAGAATAGTAATAAGAAATCAAAAAAATTTAATAATTTGGTTTGGTGGCTGTAATTTTTTTTCCATCACGGTCCATTAAAATATACAATAAATAACAATAGTAATAGTATATTGTTATTTTATGGTGATGGTAGTAGTAGTGGTTTTATAAACAATAAAAATAATATTATATTGTTATTATATTGTTATTTTGTTGTATGGTGGAAGAAGTGGTTTTGTAAAAAAATACACGATAAATAAAAATAATATATTACTATTTTGAAGAATTAAAAAACCTCATCTTTGTTTTTTTTTTTTTAATTTTCACATTTGTTTATAATATATAAAATTATGCTTAATTTTAATTTTTATTGTTTGTTTTTATTTTCAATTCATTCTTTTAAAATGAATGCTTATAGAATAAAAATAAACTTTTATTCTCGCTATTTTAATTTTTATTATCAAACAACACTCAAGTGTCAAGCTCTTTATGCTTTTAGGCAAGACATTTAGGGTCGAACAATTGTAAGAGGGGATTAAAAGGTCTTAACCATTGTGAAAATATGTCAAACCCGCAAATTGGCATTTAGTTCATTCATATTAAGAAGTTAGCTAAAATAAAGCAAGGCGAGCCATTTCTTTGAGTCCTGTGGTTCTATCAAAGTTGAATTTCCTTGTACACAACTGTTGGTGGCCCAGGCGTAGATTCCCAAGTCCATGTATTGCTGCTATGTTAAAGTTATTTGCTTGCTTGCTTGATCACAAGGGGTCTCTCTTCGCAAAATATTTTGAGCAAAACAAATGCCCCTAAGAGCATCTTCAATGCTCTCTTTATATTAAGATTTTTCTTTATAATAAAGAGTTTTGATCCAAATTTCATCTCCAATGCTCTCTTTATCACAATCTTTATCTTTAAAATTAGTATAAAGAATGTCTTTGGCTCTCCAATACTAGAGAGTCTAAATGACTCTTTATCTTATATTTTATTAATGAAAATTACTATTTCCAATGCCACTCAACCTCTTCACCAATAGTCTCTATGAGTTTTATAGATTTTGTCAAAATAAAGAGTTAAATAGAGAGTAGCATTAGAGAGGATATTGATCTTCTATCTATATAATTAATGATACTCTCTATTTACATTAAAAATGCTAGTTAAAAGTAAAGAGCACCATTGGAGATGCTCTAAGCTTGTAAATATAGCATCCCAAACTCACATATGCTTCATTGCCTGGATTCTGCAACAGCAGATTACCCAGAAGTAATAGAGACGGAGAGAGAACCACCACTATACCTGTTCAACAAGAAAAGCTTCCCATATTTACTGGTTATTCTGGACAACTCAAAAATTTTACTGCAACAAAACCGATATACTTTATAACCACACCAATATAGCAGCGCTTACAAAATCCTCTTCTAATTATGTTACTACTAAGGAGATTATTCGGATAAAAAATTAAGGAAAATTCAACACTTTTAAACAATCCAGATAGTGAACTCTAGAAGGACATTGATTTACTTTCACGATGTAACCAAGTCCCTCCTAAAAGCAATCCCTTCCATGCGTCTACTCAGGTCATCAACTTGATTTTCAAAACTACCTATATTCTCTTTATTATCTTCATCAAATCTATGCATTTTATTTTCAGGAACATGTGCCTTGGCAACTTCACGCTCTTTCAAAGTTTGCTTCTTCTCCTGTAAGCAGACCAGCTCCTTTGTGTCTGTTTCGTTCACAGATATCGAAGCGGCACCTGCCAAACGATGCATGCCATATCTTGTTCTATTTTCAGCTCCATTGGCATTAATAATACCACTTCTGTTTTTGGAAGAAGTGCGTCGTACACCAGAGAGAAACGTCAAGCCTCCATTTGGTGCTATATCCACAGAATTTCCCTAAGAGAAAAAGAATTCTTCATGTATTTTAAGGATTTACTAGACTATGCATCTGGCTCTAACTAGGAGTGAAATAAACTGTATCATGTCCACTCGTAGCAAAACAGAAAGAATTCAAATAAAAAAGGTGAAAGAAAAACAACTGACCGCATCAAAATATCCAATCTTTGGTGATGGCATTCGAAGACCCGAAGATGTTAAGCTTTTTGAAACACTGGATGGAACAAGACTGGTTCGCTCTGAGATTTTGTTTAGTTGTACATTCATGAAACTTTCCTGGTTTTCACGTACCAAAGAAGGTCCATCATAATGACGCCTATGAGAATCCGATACTTGAGAGGCATCCTTGCTGAAAGAAATCCCTCTGCATGCTGTAGTTGCATGAATGGCAGCAAGACTATTTGACCTGGGGTTGAGAATTATGGAAGATGATTCTGAGGACCATCCATCTATGGCACTAGCAGGTGAAGGACAAGATGAAGACTTGGGTGTGGATAAGAAAGAAATAGAGTTACTGGATTTCACCAAGTCATTTTTGTTTCCAGCCGAATGCTTCAAACGAGTTCTAGAGGTTGAAACGGAGGAGTTAATTGTTCTCCTCAGAGAGTCTGGAGGAGATTTAACCGTGAAATTTGAAGCACAGACAAATCCTCCTAACTCTTTCCCAGCAGTGGGCACAACTGAAGTAGGTGATTTCACTGGCGGAGTTGAACTAAGGACTAAACTGCATGAATCCCGGATACAAGTTTTCTTTGACACAATCTTCGTTCTCCCTACAAGAATAATATAGAGGTCATTACCAACAACAGTATCTACTGAGGATGATGAAACAATTTTTAGAATTCTTACCAGAAGCAACCTGTGCCCTTTTGGTTTCCAGTTTAAGATGGTTTACACCCAAAGAAGCTCTTTTGTTCGGAGCTGTGGAGAGAGTGCGAGCACAGCATAATATCTTTGGTGGCTTGAGAAACGATTTGGACTCTTTATTAGGTGCAACCTGCTTTGGTTGGTCATCATGCTGTTGTTGTTAGCTTAAACACATTCAAAAGTTCAGTTCCTATTTAAAATCAGGCAGTAACCTATGCATCAATCTTGACAATTGAAGCAAAAGCTGTAGAACACCTCTTTAATGGCTACCTAAAGCTAAATCATGAAATTAAAGCGAACTAATGACCGTTTCAGATGATGCATAGGTGAGGCCTTGGTACAGTGCCAATAAAATGAAGTAGCGAATATCGATCAAGACAACTTACTCTTAATCGAGAGGAAGCATCCAATGTTTTTGAAGCTGACCAAACGGAAAAAGCAGCAGCATGAGTACCAAAATTGACCAGGTGATTACTGAGGGTGAATACGGAAGAACAAGATACATAACAACAAGGAAATGAAAGCAGCATACAGCTAAAATATTTTAAAAAACAAATTGAGCAGTTACTGACACAATTTACAAAAAGTTAATGACAAAAAACTTTTGGTTTGGTTAGCCATACATATACAGAAGGAATGAGGCTCAATCACGCAGTATAGCCGGACAAGGACAGTTGGAATTGGTTACAAAATTCAAAGAACTAGCTGCCTTCATTCACTCTCGATGCATAAACTTATAGAAACAGCAAGATATTTACCATTGCCCCTTCGCATTTCATTTTCTCTTCTAACTTTTCCAGTTGAAGTTGCCCTTTTGGATGATGCATCATGTGACTTTTGCATGGATGCTCTCAAATTGTCAAAAAGATCAATCTCAAGGTTCGCGAGGGAGGAAGCATCACCATTTCTTGTCGAGTTTGATTCAGCAGACCTACAAACTTTTTCAATCCCAGGAAGTAGATGGGCTTCAGATGGTCTAAATCCTCCGTTGAAGAGAGATAACTCCTCAGAATTCAAAACTCCTAAGAGAAGCAAACTTGCTATTACAATTACTACATCAACTAAACATGAAATTCATACAAGATTGCAAGAAGAACAGCTAGTTCTAAGCCATGCAAAACCGTACCTGCACTCGTAAAAAAGGCACTATCCCAAGCTAAACTTTTGCGCACAGTGCACTCATCAATTCCACTATTTCTTTCTGGTCCTACAGGCTGAGAGAGTACAGGCCCCAGTTCCTGACCCCCTGTTGCGTCTACTCCATTATCTACGATCCGAATACTAAGCGTCTCCAACTCTTCAGGGTCTAGAACTCCTAAGGAAGCACAACAAAGCACATTCAACTTGCCAACTTTCAACCTACGAAATCAATCGGCAGACTTGTTAAGAAGATTTTTTCAACCTAGGAAGCAAACCTGGACTAGTGAAGAAGGCATTATCCCATGCCAAACTCTTGCGCAAGTTAAACTCGGATTCAAACTGCGAAGCACCCGTCTCTCTGTTCCTAACTCTGTCTGCATGATTCTGCACATGCTGAGGATTCTGGCTCTGGATCATCTGAACATCCACCTTCTTCCTACCCTCTGAAACTTCTGAAAAATCAAATGGACCAAGGTCAAAAGCATAAAAGCAACCATTTCTACGCTCCAAAAATCTTAATAAACAGCTAATACAGCAATCCTTGGAATTCTTTAAATCAAGAATACGATAAATCCATGAAAAGAGAAGGACAAAGAAATTCGATAATGCAAAAGCAAAAGGAGATAAAATTTCAATAACAAAATACAGGGCATGCAAAACAGAGAAAAATGATCAAGAATTTTCCAAAAGAAAAACAAGAGTAAATAAACAAAAAGACAACAAGAACTTCAAACCCATTCTTTCTTGCATTGAAGAAACACGGAAAGAGAGAAAGTGAGTACCTGAGAATTGAAATTCTTGAAAATTTCTTTTAGAGGACATTTTTGAAGAACTGGGTTTTTTTCTCATTCAAAGATTTCTTTTTCAATTCTTGAAGACTTTTTACATGCATATAATACTATAATATTTAGACAGGAGGAGAGGAGTCTATGGAGAGGGAAAATTTTAAATTTTAATAAATGAGTGAAAGGAAATAAATATTTTGAGTAATTAAAGGCATTAACTGTATAAAACGGCTGCTATTTTTTGTGTGTTAAGGAGCGGAATAGAAGATTCTATTCTCTTTCTGTTTATTCGTTTTTTTTTTAAAAAAAAGTGATAATCTAACAGGCTCTTGGTTTAGGTACTGCTAAGGATGGCTCATTTACGCGCCTCTATCGGCTTTATCCAATAACATCATTCGGTTTTAAATTTGTGGAGTTTTGGGCCAATAATTTTCCACGCTCTATTCTCTGCTTTAATTCTTGTTTTTTTCCCCCTTAGGATTTTCCTATGTTTATCATGAAATCCCAATTATGTGATTCTTTCTAAGCAGTACCGCGGACAAATTATCGAGCCATTTGTAGAAAGTAACATCACATTTATCAAGATTAGGAACGATTTGTTACATATCCAAGGCCTAATTCTTTAATGATTTTTTACCCTAATCATATTGTACATTCAAGTAGCACGCTAAGCTCCTCAATTTGAAAATTTGGCATGCACTTTTCACTCCCAAAAGTTGCACCGTTGAATTGGAAATGACAATTCACCATAAATTTATGGAAAAATTGATCCGAAATTAAGGAAAGGTGGACCTTTGTGCTCACATGCCAAGTGATTTCCCAAATAAAAAAACTCAAGCTTTTCAGGAGTTTGATAGATCAACCTATCTGCCAACGATTACAGCATTGCTTAACTGGCGATGCTTTCAGCTTATGGACAAAAGGGCTCTATCACTTTCGCAGTTTCTTACAAAAGGAAAATCATTCTATGTCAACAGGCAGCATGATTCCATGATTGAATCTCCTACTCATCAAGACATCAGCTACAATCCACTAACAACCGCTTTACAATGCACTAAGTTGAAGCTACTGAGATTTTCGAACGCAACCTTCTACATTCTAACTAAGACAGTCGAGTGAACCTCAAAGAGAGAAGATACAGCAAAATACACAATCATTAGTCTGGTTATTTCTTCAGCAAACCCATTGGCTGAATGTATGCCAGACATCAGCAGCTGCTGCGGATAACTCGTTAGCCTCGCTATGGTTTTTTAGCAACTCAAAGGTTAAGTATATGACAGATGTTGCAGCAGCTATGTTGTGTCCATGTGACGTCGTGCATCTTCCAGCACCAGCCATCTCCTACCATAAAAACTGATTAGTAAATCAACAGCATTTCAGATAAGTAATGAAGCAAAACAAGTGAAAAGTAGCAATAAGGATCATGTTATAGAGTGCTACATAAGTGTCCCACAAGAAGATAACACCCAACATTAATCTCCAGAATGTTACAGCCATTTAAAAGTAGTACTTACGTCCCATCAAAATGTTTCTAATTTTTGAGAGGGGAGAACTTTCAGAAAGATTCACTCTTAGCAAATAATACGTAATTCCACATATCTCCAGAATGTTACAGCCATTTAAAAGCAGTACTTACGTTTCATCAAAATGTTTCTAAATTCTGAAAGGGAGAACTTTCAGAAAGATTTATACTCTTGGCAAATGATAAGTAATTCCACATATTCCCCAATTGAAGACATGCACACAAACACACGCATGTATCATTCCACCCAAGTGGGCTTTGCCTGCAAAATTTCTTAGTTTTCAGGCATTCTCTTCTAATCAAATGTTTACATATAGTTGGTACCTTTTATATAGTGACAGACATGAATACTTCGAATGTATGTTAAAATAAATGTGAATCTTGACTAAGTCTTTATTAGTCCTAAATCTGCTAACCAGTTCTAAAAACATCCAGCTCTACCAAGTACCAAGAAACAAAATGAAAAAGACATTTCCGATACAGTAGGAAATAATCATACAGCTGCAAATATTTACCGAAAAAAAACATACGGAAAAGACATTCCTAATAAAGAAGGAAATTATCATCCAGCTGCAAATATTTACCAGAGTTTCAGACCAGATCAACTTCAGTATTGAAGAAAAAGAGTTGCATCTTCCTCATCTTGGATTAGTGGTGGAGTTTTAAATGGAACAGATATAGTGTAGTTCAACTGGTAATTCACAAGAATGGAACCAAAAATGTTGAACTTGGGAGCACTGCCATATGCAGCTTCTGCATCTGAACACCGCTTGAAAATTACTCTTGCACGATTGGTATCCCTATCAACTTCTGTCTCAGATTCTTTTAGAGGTCCAAAGCGTCTGAACATCTTATTTAGGCTTATTTCTGAAGGAACAGAGTCCACCACAGGGAAATGCATAACAAGCTCTGCTGGAGCCTTCTCATCCACATAACCAGCCGGTTTCTGGGCTGATACATCATAATTGCTATCAGAATAGCGCTTCCTAGAGTTTGACCTACCGCTGGGTTTATCCAGAACAACAGGCACAAAAAGATTATCCCTTTTCCTACTTTTACGTTGTGGTTGCTCTTCAGAACCATTTTGAATAACCCGGTCTGTCCAATAAGTGTCATTCATATCCTCGAATTCAAATGTTTCTGGAAAACCACCAGAAGAATGGGATATTTTTCTCTTACCACCTACTTTATCATGCTGGTCCATAACCACTGAGTTCCTGAAATCAGAGAAGAAACTAATGATGATGTTCAAGAAACTATACCCTTTCAAGGGATCTTGTGCTGTCGAGAGAAGTTGCGATAGCAATTCATCAAGTGAAGAGTATTCTGTTGGAACGATCATTCTCTTTATCTCAGCATCCTCAGAGTGCAGAAACAAAGCATCAGATCCATCCCCAACAAGTCCATCACTGCTTCCATCTGCCTTCTGGCTATTGCACTTCAGGATAGAAGTAGACCCGGTCATTTGGCTAGCAACTCTTTGGATGCATTCACCAATCTTGAAGGAAGGCTTGGGAAAATGTGTGGTTGAAGACACTTTTGCAAAAGTTATAGTCTTCCTCCCTTCTGTCGTAGATGCATCATCAGCAAAGGTATCAGATCCTTTTCTTCTCTTGCCAGAAGACGGGGAAACTAACTTACTGTTTGCTTTCCCATCAGACCCAATTTCATCATCCACAGAATCCCATGAGTCACCCATCAAATCAGACAAGTTTCTCTCTTTTTTCCTGTGATAGATGTTATCCTTCAAATTATGTTTACGTTTGTGAGAAGAGCCTTTTTGAGTTTGCAAAATCTGCTCACCAGATGAAATTTGCCTGTGATCCTCACAAACAGTCGATGCATGATGAATCGCTTCATCCTCAAATTGCAAAGCATCTGACTTCTCCAACAACCCTCCACAATACTGAAATTCAGGCAGTTCAGAGTAACCTTTCAAGCGATAGAAGGCCAGCAACTGAGACTTTGCAATCACAAGCTCCAATCGATTAGCTCCACCAGCTGGAAAATGTGCTAATGCTTTCATATAATCCACTAATTTATCTGGTTGAAACAAATCAGCTCTTGTATCTTTGTCAACACCAGCTCGTGTACTTGCCTCTGGCTGGATTCCAGCATTTTCAACTACCTGACATTTGATTTCATCATAAGCATCCTTTGGCGCACATGAGCAAGCCAGACCCAGCTCCACCCGTCTTGAAACTTCTTCCAAAGCACAATCAACAGCATTCTGAAATGCTTCTGAATTGCTCTGCTTCTCAACGTGAGGGAAGTGTGACCTGAAAGGCTTTAGCAAAGGTGCTTCATTCCATGCAAATGATCGATCCCCAAAATATGCTACTAAATAGCAGTCCTTCTTATGATACTTCATTGCTTTCTCGGAGGCATCTGATAGATCAAATATCTGTCCAGGCCACCAAGGATGGCTCCTTACTTTACCCCAGACCAAATCTGATATGGAAAACTCACCTTCCTTATCTGGCGGCAGCAGATAACAAGCCTGATCCGCTTTCTCTGAGCTTCCAACCCTTACAGCTGCCGATTTAGCAGATTTCTCCTCCGTGGTGTTCAGCTGTTCAGGGTCAGTATCCTGTTCAGCATCAAGAACATGTTCTTCGATTGTCATTTCTTGCCCTGCATTTGAATCAATCTGAAAAAGACCATTAGATGCACCCTCATCCAAACCTTCTTCAACCTTCAATTGCTGATTGCTTTCAGCAAGCCCCTTGGGTTCAGTTTTGGAATTCAAAGCTTCCTTGTTGCTTGCTATAACATTTTCCCTCCCATCCATGGGCCGGTTATCTGTTTGTGTGCACACGAGTGCTGTTTCAGCCTGTGAGTTCAGTTCTTCTACCTTTTTCTTCTCCCCTCCAAGCTCTTCAGCATGAGTAGCCTGTTCCTGAACTTCCGTCAGTTGCTCTTTGATTGAATCAACATGAGCAGGATCACAAGATGCACTTTTGACCAAGCCTTCTTCAGGCTTCAACTGTTGATCTTTTACAGAAGGATCTGAAATTTTAGTATCAGAGGTCAAAACCTCATCATTGTTTGTCAAATCTGCTTCAGCATCCATTTCCATCCCTCCACATGTCGTCTTAGTCCTTATTTCAGTGCTTCCATTAATAGTCTCAACTTTTTGCTGTTGCGAAACCGTTATTACTTGCTCTTTCTGTAGACCAGCTTCTTCAGCATCATCAACTAAGCATGCAGTAATAACTTCTTGATTCTTTTCAGGATTCAGAAGAACATCGTTTTCCTTTGCTACAGCTCCAACAACTACTTGAGCTGGTTGATGCAAAGATTGTGAATCTGCACATGCATTATAGCCATTTTCAGTGCTCCCATTGGCTGTCTCGGATGCTCCCTGCAGTTCTTCCACTGAAAAACAAAAACTTTCACTAAAAGCATCAGTGTCCATACCTTCAGTGTTAGGACATGTGATATTTTTGTCGTCAGTTGATGCAACACTCCCTTCAACAGTAATTTGTGTTTGTTTATCCAACAATTTTGAGTCTGAGTTGGCAATACTGACTTTTTCTGTTGAAACTGATGATCTTTCAGCAGCTGAGATAATCCCATCTGAATCACCATCAAGTGCTCCTTCCAAAGCTTCACTCCTAGCTGCTTCAACCTTGGGATTCAAACCTTCATTACTGGGCATCACAGCAATTTCCTCAACAACATTGGTATCGAAATTTGTATCCTCAGTTGATGGAGTTACAACTGCAGTTTCAGTTCCAGAATTCCACACCTCATCATGCAAAACACCCACCTCTTGTGTCTCTGAATCTTGAAGTCCAACTTTCCCATTGTCATCTTTCTCCTTATCCTTCCCTGCAGCCTCTTCAACCAATTCAGATTTCTCTACAACTTGGGTTTCACCTACTGAAGAACCTACTGCCATGGAAGGACCTCCTGCCCCATTTTCAGCTCTTTGATCCTGAGATTCATTCTCTGACAGCCCAACTTCTTGAGAATTTACTTCCTGATTTGCATCAGTCTCGACTCCCTCAACACCCTTCTCCACTGATTCCCTGTTCAAACTCTCCTCTGCTGTAACAACTGTCACTTCTTCCACTACACCTTGGGTTTCCCCACCAATCCCACTTGCAATTTCCACACATTGAGCATCAGCATCTGCAACCCCAGCTTCTGATGGCGTCTTATCACCATTTCCACCAACTTCCATATCTTCCTCTCCACCCTCTACCGGTTGACCTTTTCCCCTAGATTCTGCAACCTTAGAAGACTGTCCAACCTCACTCTCAAGCCTCAAGTCATAAACTTCCTGTGAAGTCTCATCACCATCGCCACAGACCTTCCACTCCTTCTCCCCACCCACAACCGCTTTCCCTTCTTCAGATCCTGCAACCTTAGAAGACTGTCCAACCTCACTCTCAACCCTCAAGTCCTGAACTTCCTGTGAAGTCTCATCACCATCGCCACAGACCTTCCACATCTTCTCCCCACCCTCAACCAGTTTCCCTTCTTCAGATTCTACAACCTTAGAAGACTGTCCAACCTCACTTTCAACCCTCAAGTCATGAACTTCCTGTGAAGTCTCATCACCATCACCACAGACCTTCCACTCCTTCTCCCCAACCGCAACCGGTTTTCCTTCTTCAGATTCTGCAACCTTAGAAGACTGTCCAACCTCACTCTCAACCCGCAAGTCCTGAACTACCTGTGAAGTCTCATCACCATTGCCACTGACCTTCCACTCCTTCTCCCCACCCTCAACCAGTCTCCCTTCTTCAGATTCTGCAACCTTAGAAGACTCAACTCCTGAGTTTGATGCCTCGACACCAGAATCCCTATTGTCATGTATCCCAAAATCACCAACTACACCACCAACAACATCTGAACGTTGCACATCTCCCTCGGCACGACCACAAGCAGCAGTTACCTGGCTCGCTTTCCCCCACCTCCATCACCTAAATCGCGTCTGCCCCCACCGTCAACATCCACACTTGAAGACCTCTCAACCATCACTTCATCTCCATTACAAGACCCACCTTCCTTTGCCACCACATCCTCACTAGAAGAACCCTCTATCGTATCCTTACCCTGACCCTCAGCCTCCTCACTGGCAACAGAGTCAGCAACCACTGGGGTCGTTGCTTTTGTGATTTTCTCACTATCACCACTATCTACATGTTCACTGGCAGTCACAGTAGACAATTCCGCAACACTACTTGCAGCAACACTCTCATTCTTGCTTTCATCCATTGAAAACAGTATCTGGGTCAATTTCAAGATCCAAAAAAGAAGTTTTCTTTAACTATGAAGAACCAAATTTTGAAAAGGAATATCTAGAGAGTGATAAACCCTAACAACAAGAAGTCCACAATTCTATCAAGAAAAACAGTAAATCAAGTGATGCACATATAAAAAGAAAAGGATAATAAAGAACAAACCTTTAGATTGTTAAATTAATAAAGAGAGTGATTTTTTAAAAGATTATGCGTTTACCTCGTTAGATCTTGTAAGGAGTGGAAACCAGGGGTTGTGGGGTTTTTAGAGTTTTTAGAGAGAGAGAGAGAGAAAAAAAGAAAGGCAGTGTTTGGGCATGAGAATAACTTAGGCGTCCTTTTAAGTGATCTAAAGATAAGTAAACCAAGCCCGAATCTTAAGGGTTCTTGTCCTTATTCAATTTTCAGTGATTGGTCAGCACTACTAACAGGCTTTCTCCTCAATTTTCTATTAGAGATTGATGGGAGCCTTTGTTGGTGACAGATGGATTATGACAGTCCAGTTATGTTTGAAAACGTGTGGCAAGGATTTTGGGAGAATGTGGAGATGGGGAGGTTTATTACGTGGCTTTTGGTGATTGCAGGTTGAGAAGGCTTATGGTAAAAGTCTTAATCATTATTAAATACACTTTTCACTTAAGGATTTTTGATAAGCTTTCACTCTCTGATAATGGGTGTCAATAACAGAAGATATCAACGCCACCTGTTGGCTGAGCTCTTTCGTATGTCATGTCTTATTCTATTTTTTTATAGGATTTTCAACTATATTTATGTTGCACAATTAAATAAAAAAAATATAAATTGATGAAGAAAAACTAAAGTAAAAAATAAAAAGTATATGTAGTGCATCAGTAAGGAGATTAAAATTTTTAATTTAAAATTTTAAAGATCAAAATGACACAACTGAAAAAAAAAAAAAAAAAAAACCTAAGCTACGATAATGAATAGTGATTTGTGAGGAAGTGAACAGTGATTTTCAATACCTAATTAAATAAAAAAACATAAATTGATGAAAAAAAAAACACGTCTACTACATCACTTAAGAGATTAAAATTTTTATTTTGGAATTTTAAGAACCAAAATAAAATAACTTAAAAAAAAAAAAAAAACCTAAGCTACTATAATGAATAGCAGTTTTTGTGAGAAAGTGAACAATAATTTTTACTCTTCAAACCCTCCACACGTTTTAGTATTATAATAATAATTAGTTGGATACCCACGTTATGCTACGGGTAGACAACCGCTACATACGTAGGGTTAACGATTCGTATAATGTAACGCGAGGAGAAAGTTTTATTTTTTGTGATTTATATGAATCGAAATCGAATCTATATATAGTTAAATTATAACAAAACTAATATATATATATATATATATATATATATATATATATATATATATATAATAGATTCGAGTCTATAGAAAAATATATAAAAAAAACCACCTGAATTATAAAAATCTATTGAAGTCAATAGATTAAAATAAGAACTACGACAAAATTGATTCGATAAATTCTTAATAAATACATATAAAAAAAAATAAAACTTGTGAATTTTTTGAACACGTAACTTTTTTAAAAAATAGAGTCAAACTATCTAAAATATACTTTTAGCTCTCTCTCTCTCTCTGTGTATATATATATGTATATATATAAGTAAAGCATTCATTTAAAAATATAAAATTAATTTATTGTATAAATTATAATAATATATTTTTAAAAAATAAATTATCGACGTTCTAAAATTTTATTCCAAAATTCACATATTAAAAAACCAAATTTATTAACAAATAAAATTATATAAAAAATTAAAAAATAATTTAATTAGAATTTTAATAAGAAACAAATAATTGAAAAAATAAATTTTAAATAATAAGAATAAAATAATCGTATATGTATATTAACATCAATGTTAAAGATATAATTAATATTGGTTCGGAGACATTAAAGGAACTAGTAATATATATGTTTTTTCTTGGTGAAGTGACCAATTATATATGACTCGCTTAACTTGTACAAAGTTTGGTGAAGATCCAGTTATGCTATGACAATATGTATATTCTTTTACGGGTTTCCTTTTGCCTCCCGAGTGATTAAATCCTAAAACACATCAATATTTAAAATAAGGGATGATTACTAGAAAAATCCTCTAAAAACATCTTATATCCAATTATCCCATCAATTTATTTTTAAATCTCTCAAACCCAAAATAATATTTTTCTTACCAAAACACTAAATAGTTACACACTCAACTCAACACTAGTTAACTATTGGGTCTTTTGGGATAATAATTTTTTTATTTTTAGATTTGAGATATTTAAAAAATAAATTGATGAATTTTTTAGATAGAAATTTTTTTTATAGTTTTTTTATATAGTTTTTATCTAATAATAAACTCATTTTATAGTTTTTAATGACTTTGATTTTTTTTTTTCATGATCAAGTCAAGTTCTTTTTTATTGCATTCGAAAGGAAACAAAAAGTTTTTTAGGTTCTTTGACTTTTAAACACTAACATTTGACTACTATTTTTTTATTATATTAAAAAATTCCTTTGACTACTATTTTTTTAATTATATTATTAGAGTTTTTTTTATATTCATCGTTTGTTTCATTAATTACGAGATTAATTTCACTATCTAGTAACTATAGCAATCGATGCAATTTAACTAATTCATATTGATGAAATGAGACTTTTGTTATTCTCTTATAATTTAATCAAAAGGTTATCACACAAATAAGAAAAATTAGAATATGTATGATTACGAACATTAGTGATTTTTTAAATCCTAATATATTGATAGAAAAAAAGCGTCATCCGTAATACTAGTTTTTAATTAATCATAACTCAACATTTTTTATCAATCAATTAAATTAAATTACAAGATAAATGTATAACATATTTTGATGCATCAAGTAAATAAAACATGATTATCCATAATAGAAATACATATCTTGAAAGACAATGGTTTTATTTAAACTAGGGATAATTATCAAAATATCTTCTAAAAAATATTCTATCTAAAAATTCACTATTTTATTTTTAAATGTCAAAAGCGTAAAATAATATCTTTCTTACAAAAACAACCAATGGTTAAGACTAGTATTAATTATTGAGTGTTTTAACAAGAAAAATATTATTTTGGGTTTGAGAGATTTAAAAATATATTTATGGGGTTTTTAGATAAAATATTTTTTTATAAGTTTTTTCTAGTAATTATCCCTTAAAACAATTAGCCAACGTTTTTTTGTTATATCATGAGATTAGTGGCAAGACTTTTAAAAATAGAAAATAAATTATAGGAAGAAAAAAAAAGCGAGGATTGCTTCGGTTGGTGTGTGTGTAGTAGTAGACTCAAAGTATATAAACTAAATAAAAAAAATACATAAAAACTCACTTAAATTATATGGAATACGTCGAAGTGAATAAATTTAAATCAAAACTATTATAAATTAGTTTCGATAAGTTACGATAATGGGAGGACAATCGTGTTAAATATATCTTAAAAAATAAAACAATCTCACCCCCAGTTCTTTTAGTGTTTTTTTTTTTTTTTTTTTATAATTTCCGTGCTACGTTATAATCGGACAACCATTACATATACGAGTTTTAACAATTTATATGGTATTATTCGATGACATATTTTATTTCGAAGATTAATGTAAATCGAATCTATATATTAAGTAAACTTATTCTATTTATATATATTCATTAACAAAATAATTTATAATATTAATATAAAAATTTTGCATTTGAATAATTAAGAGGTTGTTTTAAAACATTAATTAAATTATTTTATTTTAAAATATAGATTTTAAGATATGAAAAAAATAATAAATAATTGATGTTATGTGTGCATATATAATGAATTTATAACAAAACTATATATATCGTACTTGACATAATTATAGTATATAAAATAAATAAATACATAATAAAAAATTCACCTAAATCACATGGAATATATCGAAGTAAATAGATTTAAATAAAAACTATTATAAAATTGGTTTTGATAAATTCGATTAATATATATATATATATATATAATCAAATAAAACTTGTGAATTTTTTAACTAATTATTATTTTTTTAAAAAAATAGAGCATAATTATTTTTTTAACCGATTATCATTTTTTTAAAAATTAAGTCAAATTATCAAAAAATACACGTCTAGCTCTCTCTCCCACTCTTCAAAATTTATATATGAAAAAACTATATATATATATTACTTACCGGACTCGAGTGTATAAAATAAATAAATAAATATATTAAAAACCCACTTAAATTGCATTAAAAATATTGAAGTGAATAGATTTAAATAAAAACTACTATAAAATTGATTTCAATAAATTCTGATCATATATGTATATATTACTTAGCAAACTTAAAATGTATAAAATAAATAAAAAATATAAAAAGACTCACTTAAATTGTATGGAATATATCGAAGTGAATAGATTTAAATAAAAATTGCTATAAAATTGGTTTCGATAAATTTTAATCATATATATATATATATATATATATAATCAAATAAAAGCTATGAATTTTTAATTAATTATTAATTTTTTCTTAAAAAAAGAAAAAAAAAGGAAAAATAAATGAGGCTAGCCGTTAAAAGGGCAAAAAATGATACTGTTATAGTGAATGACAGCCTAACTCGTTATAAATAAAAACGGGAGAGGCCAGTGCAACCCCAACCCAACCCCCCCCCCCCCGTGGCTCAAAAAAAAAAAAAAAAAAAAAGAGGCCAGCACGATAAAAAAAAAAAGAAAAAAAAAAGGAGGCTAGTCCAAAAAAAAGACGAGGCCAACCCTTCAATAAAAAGAAAAAAGAAAAAGAAAAAAAAAAAGGAAGCCAGCCAGTATAGCCCTTTGAAAAAAAAAAAAAAACAAAAGGGCTAATTAATTCATCTCTTAAAGACAGAGGATCAAAAAACAATAAAAAATTGATGAACAGAGACAATTAGTCTAGAGCTGAATGGATAGTGTCACGTGCACTTCTTTTAGGTATTTTTTGTAATAGGACTATTCCGCTTTGATATTATTATTTTTTTAACAAAAGAAAGATTCACTATCTGATAATGCGTGGCCATTTTCACATTTTTTTTTTTAATATGTTAGCTGCTTGTTAACAGTTAATTTTTTATTTAAAAAATAACGTTTTAAAGTGAAATTATGGGTAATTTAATAAGGTGTATCTGATAGAAAATTAACTTACTGTAACCAATTGGGTCATCCCATTTCGAAATTGTTCTAAGAATCTACTAATTAAACTACAACATTTTGATATGCTATGTTCTTTTTTGCTGCCCAGTTTATGTAGCAAAAGAGAAAAGGAAATCGTGGGCAAACAAACAACTGATCTTCTTCTGGAAGTACAATTTGCATTTATGCTCAGCGGTTCAATGCTCATTAACTGAGTGAGTTCTGACATGAAATACAAGTACACACGTGGTATAAGTTAGAACTTCGCCGGGAGTACACTTGTTAACTGGGTTGAAGGAGATTTCTTAGAACATACTATGCTGATAGAGTCTAGTCTCTCTAGTTGAGTTTTTTTTTATCATTTCAAGGTACTTTTGCATTTTATTTGCAAGAATAAGAGTGTTTTAAACTTATTTGTAAAAAACAAGGAACTTTTGCCATGTCATTTCTTTTTTCAGAACTATGTTTGACTTCACCTGCCAGCAATTCAATTCTCACCTATCTGGATCCTCTTTATTTATTAACAACAACACTAACATACATTAATTTTTTCCTTGTCGGCTCATTGTCTTCAACACTGGTGCGGGCGACTTTTTTATCCATCAACAATTAACATTTTTCTTTTCTTTTCTTTCTGTATACCCACTTGAGCAGCTTCTATGGCTGCTAAAATCTTCAATGCCTCGTTCTTTTTTCTTTAATCAGTCTTAATATTAACATAAAAATTACATTAGTGTTGTAATCGTTGACAGATTTATTTCATTTTGGCTATGGCTAGTAAAGATAATGTGTTTCACAAAAGATCTGGGTTATTTATTTATTTTGACAGGTTTATTTCATTTTGGATACAGCTAATAAAGGATAATGTGTTTCACAAAAAATTTAGGTTGTTTTGTTTATTTTATTTTGATAGATTAATTTATTTCTAATTTTTTTTTATGTTTATTTATTTTATCATGTATTAATCTAGTTTTTTTTTCAAAGGTTTTGTTTTTATTTTGTTGTGTTGCTATAAGAAATAAAGTGCTTATAATGTGTCTCACAAAAAATATTTGCAAATTATATAATTTTTCTTATCGTAGATTTTTACTAAATTGATATAATGTTAAATTTTATTTTTTCAGGTTCACGATGACTAATAAAAAGATATCTATTTTTTGTTATTAGAATGGACGTATCATAACATGATAATTCACCTTCATAAGGTGCCTGAATGATCAAACATCATCAGTTAAAATGTGCCAGAGGCCGGCGAAGATTTTAACAGCTCAAATGGGCCGAGCACAGTAGTTAGCATGTTTGGAACCCCAATTTATTTGGGTTGGGCCAGAGAGCTATGATTTGGGCAAAAACGTAAACTTCAAGGTTCTTTTTGTATTATATTCAGAGCCCTTGCCTGATTCTTGGACCCATATACCACATCTAAAAGAGTCCTTATAACTCAGGAATAGAATAGACACAGTGACCATCCCTGTCATTTTATACAACTCTTTTGGCATATATATATATATATATATATATATATATATAGACACACACACACGTAAAAAAAAAAAAATCACAAAAATTCATGCCATACATCATTATTCTTTTTCATCTTACGCGACAACAAAATATAAGAATATTTTAATCAAACTAATCCTCGAGGAAAATTCAAATTATCCCCTCCTCTGCACGACATAAAATTTAGAACATTTACGTATGTGGCTCAAATGCTAAATTATTTACAGTCATCAGGCGTTTGTTTTGAATAAAATATTTTACAGATAAATGTTTTTCTAATTTTGTTGTAATTGTTTGGTGCAATTTTTACACGATCTGTTTTAGAATAGTTCACAGAAGAACTTCGGCTGGGTTGGACTAGGTGGCTTGCAATGTGGATTTTTCTTTGGATCTGAAATTACAAAATTGGATCGGAAGCAAGATACCGATCCATATATTTGATGGTTAAGGAAGTCCAAATCCATTTTGAAAATAATAATATAAAAATGAGTGCGTGAGTGAGTGAGTGATTTGCACGTGTGCCTTGTACATCTTTCATGATGCTATTTTGGCTGATTTATCCTTTTTTTCTTTTTTTTTTTAAGTTCATTTTCAAATCCTTCTTCAATGTCCTTGCTCTTTCAAGAGGATAAAAGTCTTTTCATAAAAGAACTCTATCTATCAATATCACGTTATGTTGAGAGACTTGACGCAGAAGTTTTTACCTAGCTAGCTACAATTTCGGATGCTTTACTTATCATCAACTCCATGAAAGTCTAACAACCATAATGTCATATTGCGACAATACCACTTAAGCGAGATGTGAAATATCAACGAACTATAAATTTGTTTTCAGACAAGGTGAGAATAATTTTATTCCTCGGCCTCTTACTTCACTAATGAAAATGGCTGCTTTGGTATAAATCCAATCGCAATTAATAAGTGGGGACTGATTTATCACTGAACTTTTGGCTGCATTTCAATTGAAATCTCTCTTTCTTTTGTAAGATGAAGTCGGTAAGTTGGAAAAAATACAGAGATTTACTCTTCTATGATTGGGCTGCACTTATTGATATAATATACTGTCCGAGTGTAATAGACCAGACATCACGCTAATAATACAGAAGATGGAGGGGGAGGACAACAAATTATTTGAACATGCAGGCTTTTAAGTAGAAAAGTTCATTGAAGCCATCAAAAGCAACCCATGAGATATGGGAAAACATACGTGACTTCTGTTACATTGTCTTTTTTTGTTCTAATATATAGTTCACAGCTGAAGCTGAGATGTTAGATAGAGAAAGAGAATGAAAGAATCTTACCAAACACCTAATGACCTAAGAATCATAAAATTAAAAAAAAAGAAAAGAAAAGAAATTAATAAAATAATCGGAAAGAAGAGCCACAGCAGATCTGATAATAATGCTGTTCTGCAGCAGCTACTCCCCTCTCCTCTTGTTATTGCCACCTAAGTGCCCCCTCTTATCCAACCTTTTTAAAGCTTTCACCTGTGCCACCTGAACCTATTCCACAGCCAAGCAAACTGTCTCTGTAATATCAGTTTATATTTATTACATAGTTTCTATTTAATACACACACACACATATATATATCACCAACATTCAAAAACTAGGTATCTTTTTAGCTAGATCTTGGATAAACCTTTTACACCAAAAGTAATCTATTCCTTGGTATGCCTTCAAAACAAAACACGTAATTTTATCCCCATGAAAGGACAAACCGGTGATCAGAAAGTAAAATTCAACAAGAAACACAAGATGGCAAGTGACAATGAATCAAACAAACGTAATAAATTCTTAACTACGATCTACTTGTGTTATTGTAAACACCAACTAGCGTGCAGTTGGCAGAAGCCAAAGATGGAGAGAATCCACGGACTTGAAGGGTATTTTGGTCTTCTGGGCACGTGAGTTTCTAGCGTGCCAGATGTAAGTGGGCCCCACTCGATCACAAAGGCACGTGACTCGGTGATTCTTTTGTTTACATTGACTGAGGTTGATATCATGTCACCATGTGAAGCAAACCAAGAGGCTATAAAATCATCGTGTACAGCTAAAATTTATGGAAGCGTATGTACCTGCGTTAGGAGGAGTAATTGATGGGGGTTTGGACATGATGGTTGGGATTGTTGTAATGGGACCCGCTGTTGTTGGTGGGAAAATGTGGGAAGCAGGCAGGCCCATGGCTTGTGATTGATGGAAGTGATAAAGAGGGTACACTGGCATCAATGGATTGGCACCCACCATACCTTGCCCTGGATACACCTGAGAGAAATGCCCATTCATGTAGGACCCGCCCGTGTAGCTTAGCTTCTGTAAATCGTCCCAGCAATATTAGCACATCAATATTACCAAGAATTTGAACACTAAAGTGAAGAGGAAAAGAGGGAAAATTATGTTATGATTGGTTAATTTCTCAAAGAATTTTCTGTTAATTTAGGGTGAATGAAAATATTCAAAATTTGGGAATTTCAAGCAATTTTTTTTGCCATCACAAAACAAATATTTCTTTAATTGACTGAATTTGTAGTTCATTATAAATATTCAAGTGCTATACCGAAATATTGTTGGGTAAATACACAGGGCCTCTAATAAAATCGTTGGGTTTTCATCAACTTACATGGTAATTCATCATGAATTGTCATAAACACCATGCATACTGAAATGATCATGTGTTTGCATAATTATTCCTAAATGATCACTAGAGAGTAGAAAAACTTACATGATTGTAACTGATATCAGTGGCAACGTAAGCTGGAGAATACCTGAAAAAAATAACTATAAAATAAGAAACTGTCCATTTTCACATTCCATTCCGCTAAAATAAGAACAATTAATCAAGCTACGTACAGACTGGCTTACCCATAAAAAGGAACGGCCTGATGATGCTGATGATGAAATGGTAATGCTGCAGCTGACCCTGTCGGATAATACCACTGGACATGATTTGCTGGTGCTGCTGTCGTGGACCTCGGTCCAACGTTAACGTTAGGTCCTTCATGATTAAAATTAATTTCAAACATTAGCAAACTCTAAAATTATGCTCGTGTTTATTTCAATAAATAGCAAGGTTATACAAATAGGAAAATTATATCAATTTTTTTGGTTAATATGCAAAGAATTTAATCCAATGATTTTGTAAATTAATTATATGTCAAATTTATCAAGCATGAATGTAGGACTCCAAAACTTCAATGATTTTTATTTCAAGAAAGTTGACTGTATATATATGTATTGATATGCGATTATATATGTAAAAAGAATCCACTGTTCATTTTTTACCCCTAATTTTCATGCCCTGAAAAGGCAATAAAGAAATATTGCTTTCGAAAAACATATTTACATATATACATAAATATTTATGTTGAAAATACGGACAATACTTTTAAATATCCATACCTTGGTGCGGAGGAGCCGGTGTTGCAGACCTAGGGCGGCGTGCACCAAGTGAAGCCAGATTGCAGTTTGCACGGCGGCCATTGATAATGGGTGTAGCATCCTCACAAGCCTTCTTTGCCGCTTCAGCCTCCTTAAACGTAACCTAATTAATTAGCACAATCACCAAAGCTAACGTTAGGAAAACATTACTAAGTAACACTAATCTTTGTCTCCCTAAAAGGAAAAGGTACTCAAGACTTACAAATCCATAGCCCTTGGATCTACCAGTGATTTTATCAGAAATAATCACAGCCTCCAAGATCTCACCATACTTGTCAAAATGCTCTCTCATGGCCTCTTTTGGTGTCTCCCATGCTAACCCTCCAACAAAAACTTTGGTCAGTGTGGTATCACCAAACTGCCCAACAATACTGTTGCTCATTGTAATTCTTTTCGTAAATCCCTGCGCAAAAAAATAAAATAAAACTCACGCAGTATAATTCAACTCAGCTAAACCTTTTATCTATTTGTCGCGAGAAAATGTATGTTTTTTGTGGTTGGTGGAGAGAAAGAATGGTACGTCAAGAAAGGGTTTATTTTTCGAAGGGAGAAGAAGAGAGGGATGGAAATATAAGGGGGAAGAGAGAAGGGGAGGACAGGTGGTAAAGGAATAAAAGAATGGAAGAAAAGCAGGTGAGACAGAGAAGCAGACAGATGGACTTGATGCTTAGGCTATCAACAACGCGATCACACTAACATAAATATGCAGAATACTAATTAATGGTACTGATCAATCTACTTGTTTTTTTTTCGAACAACTAATAGTACTTGGTCGTAGTGATGACATGATTCTTTTGATACCTTTTTATCTTCTCTCTTGGCCAATGATCTATCTGGTCCGAAGCTTTTAATGTGTACTGTTTTTGTTGGTCGAAATATGTAATTAAGCTACTCGTGCTTACCGTTACACGGCTGAATTAATTAAGGAAGAGTAATTCGCCTCATTTTGTGGTTAGGCAGAAGTATTTTCCTATTGCATGCAGCCGCTATCAAGCGCGTCAACATTGTACTGAAAATATCTTTCCTTTTACTATTATCTTCCAAATAAAGGATTCCATGCATAACGCTCATTGTTATTTTGTTTCTATTTTCCTTTTCAACTTACAAATATGTCAAGGGAAAAAAATATATTAAAAAATATTATTTATTTTAGGTGTCAAGCATTCCTTTTCTCCATTCTAGTTTGGAGCTCCTTTTGTTCTATCGACTATCCCCCAAAAAAAAAAAAAAATCCATTAATTAGTTTCCATTCATTAAATATTTCTTGAGGCTTTTTGGAGATAATAAAAGGAGAGTAACAGATTTTATAATGTATGTAACTAAATATATATATTTTTTTACTCTTCTCTTTTTAATTAATTGAGCTTTTTTTTCTTCTTAATACAACATTAAAGCCAAATATAATGCTAAAAACATCAAACAAGGTAGCTTTTTTTGTGCTAATAATAATTAATTCCATTTGTAGAACAGGATAGCTGTAACTTTTTATTTCATCCCTTATTTAGATTTTTTTTATCTGGCTTTTTTTTGTGGGACAAGTCTATCCTTAATTTTCCATCTTATTATTAATTTCTAATCTCTATTTTGTTAATTATACACAGCCAATGACCCTTAATTAATTCATATTTGTATTTCAGTGGAAATAATTTATGTTCTATTTGTAGTTCATACAATTATAAGCGATTAAAAGAAAAGCCCAGATGCCTAATACGATGGATCGTGGTCTCACGCGTGGAGAAGACGGGTAAAATAAAAAACGCACAAGACAGCTAAACGCCGTACTTTGACAGAGGGAGAGGGTCCGACAAATTTAACGTACGTGTCGTGCAGTCCTAAGAAATGTAAGTATGAATTTGAGGGCCGGTCGTTAGGAACCATGATCGCCAGCTCCTCTATGGTACGACTGGCTGTCATTACCAAAATAACCACCATACCTTGCCATATTCAGTCAAACCAGCACTAACTCTCAAGGTTAAAAAGGGAACATGAAAAGAGCGTCTGTTATTTTCTCACGGGGATGACTCAAATTTCCCAAATCTTGGCACATGGATGGCAATTTCACTAATCTAAAAGATAAATGTTAATTTTAGCTGGGTTATTGAAAAAAAAGTAAGAAAGACTGAATTTATTTAGGACAAGTTGATGAAATTTCGTAGAAACTTGAATGGTTGAGAACTATTAATTCAGTACAAACTTTAAGTTTAATGTTGGTTTAAATATTATAAACTAAATCAAAAGTGCCTGCTCGAATCACTAGATAGTTAGCAATTACAAGAGCAATGGTGACATAAAACCTTGTGTTATTGCATCCAAGACCGGAACTGGAATTTTGGAGTTGGGCTAATATGGAAAAGATTAAAGTAAAACTTCCAAATAAAATAATAGAGGGAGAGCTTGCGGGCTCAAAATTAATATGTATTTTGTAGAAGAAAATAAGCCTCAGATTGAAAAATATATTTAAAATTTCAAAAAAATAAGAACTACAAAGTAAAAATTTTCATGTGAGATACAACACTTGATGGTGGGAAGCATAAAATTTCCCCTGATTTATATTTAGGTTTTTTCATCCAGGAAAAAGGAAAAAATAACCATGGGCTGAGTGTCAGTGACTTGGCACTGCATGGTTGGGATGCGCAAACACCGAGTATATTACCAGACCAGCAGTTGAGTAAGTTTCTATCTGTGGGCTATATATATATATATATCATTCTTCTAGTACATATTATTATTAATTACGAAAATTTTGGAAGCAGCGACAGGGTCAAAGTCAGAACACCTTGAGGTGCACCAGCTTAAAATGGCTAAGCAGCAAAATGTTGGAAGAAGAAAATATAGCAACCTCGATCTGACGACTGAATCTCCTCCACCGCCGCTCTATTGACCCAAAATATGTGCAAGCTTGTAGGTTGTAGCTAACCAATTGGTATATCCGAGTGGGCAAATAAGAGACTCTCAAATTAAAACCTCTTTTCTATATATTTTTGTAAAAGAAAGTTATAAGATGTTAAACTTTTATCTAATTATTAGTAATATAGTGGGGTGGTATGAGCGATTATATATGATAGTACAAGACACACTAAAGATATACTGCATTTTATTTTTTATTTTTAATAAAACAGGTTAAAATAAAGCTTGACATACATACATATAGTAAAAATATAGTATTTTGTAGAGTCCTGCATATCTACATTAATTCAAAATCTTCATCAAAATGAGGTGTAAAGTATCTTTATAAATTAAAGATCTGTTACCTTTTAAAAAAATCAATGATAAGATTCAAACTTATTTAATAAGTTAAACATATCTATTTATCTTTATATAATATTTAATGTCTTCCATCTGGTCTTAAATTTTTAATTGTATTTTCGAATGTATTTGAATCTTTTAATTTGTCTTTTAAGCTTAATTTTCAGGACAAATAAATTTTTTTGATTAAAATATCCCTAACTGAAATGAAAAAAAAAAACATCAAAAGAAGTCAAAAATAGAAGTCTTTAGATTTTTTTTTATATATATTTTAATAAAAGATATTTTGATCAAAAAAAATTGTAATAGGAAAATTTGATTGAAAAACTGATTCAATATTTTAAAAAATATTTAAAAATATATGAGATGTAATTAAAAATTTAATAACAAATATGAAACATCAAATATTATGTAAAGATAAATGAGTATATATATATATTTAGCTACCGGACAAATTTTACATGTTAAGATACATGAATTAATATGACTCAACCACGTGACAACCATGTAGTTTTCTACTTTTCAGGTTACTGATTTTCTTTGTGGATTATATATAGTAGTGTATAGATAGGCTCAGCGTCTAAACGATGCCAATTGATCGATACGTACCCTAATCCTTGAATTTTTCTTCTTCTAAAACTGGCACCATGCATGTTCAAACATTGATTGGCTTACAGTCGATTTGTTGGGTTTATGATCATGGGGTCCCACGACAAATGCGTTAGAAGATAAGAAGGTTTTGCTACGCAGAGACAGAATCTTTTTGAAGTGTTTTGCATGTTGTTGTCCATTCGGTTGGCGAATCTATATGGAGGTGATTGGAGGCACGTAGCTACCCTACCTAGTTAGAAATTTTAATTTGCCTAATAACATGGTTTAGCAAATTGTTTTTCTTTTTCTTCGCCGCGTACGTGATCAACGGGTGGTTTCGCTGAAAACATCAAGGCGCTGATTGAGGGGATTGTAATGGTCTCGTCCAAAGCAGCAAATGTCGTCATTTGGTAATAGTTTTTGCAAAGATGCATTTAGACTGATTTTTTTTTTGGGTGTGTTTTATGGTTTTCATGTCTTCATATATAGTTAAACCATTTAAAAAAAAACATCAGTTTATATATGCATTTTGAAAATCAATTTAAAACACAATTCAAATAGATTATCAAACATAAGGGTTTGAAAACTTGAGTGTTATATACACATGTTGGCCTTTCGAAAGAGTTCGTAGAAACAATAAAAAGGAGCTTTAATTTCTTAAGCTCGAATTTTAGTCTCTTTATCACTTATGTGGTAAAGTAATATAATTGTGTCCAATTAGTTTTGCCAATAAGTTTTGGAAAAAATTTTAAAATACTGAAAAAATAACTATTAATATTTATTCTATAGATCTACTTTAAAAAAAAAAGACAGATATAAAAAAAAAAATTACATTTGAACTCAAAATAATAATAATAATAATATTTTTACCCCAGCACCATTTTTTTTAAATTTTCTTTTAAATACCATAAAATTTCTCTACGTTTTGATCCATATAGATACAATATTAAAGGTTTCTTTAGACATTAGTGAGGTAGAAATATGCCATTTTCTCCATCAAGTGTATGGATAGCATGTTTGTACAAAATTTATGCCATTTTCTTTAGACATCTGTACAAATTCTAAGGGGTTGGTCTGATTATTAAAGAGATTTTGCTCATTTTGCCAATATCTAGAATAATTTATTAAATTTCTTTAAAAATCAAACCAATATAGGTAGTGTGCTCTTAAGATTTTTCAAAAGAAATTTAATCTTGATTAACACACAGATTAACACACAAACTGACGAGATGATTTCCTCACCGTCAAACCAAACAAATATGTTTTTCTACCCATTTTGGTACAAAATAAAAAGAGGAAACCTCAAATTTGTTCCAAATGTTAGTGTCCTATATATTATTCGATCAAGTCAAAAATCTTTTCATAGCATCAATTTTACCCCAAATGTATGATCGTATTATCAATCGAGTCACAAACCTTTTGATTGTATCAATTTTACCCCAACATTTTTATCATGAACAAAATTACCCCAGTTTTGTGGATATGCTTTGAGTTCTCTTAAATTGGGGTTTTAATATACGCTAACAAAGTGGGGCCGTGGGGCGA